AGAATAGACCAACGGTCACCACCGCAGCGGTGACGGACGGTGCAGTCCGAGCAAGGAGCGTCTTGCCACATCGGATCCAGCTGCTGGGAACACGGGTCAATTGATCCGCCTTGTTCTGCTGACTGCTGATCCACTGGACCTTGACCGTCAAGCCCGTGACAGCGACGAGATCAGTGATAATCTGGAGACGGCGCTGCACAAGTACCTGCTGCAGGCCGCTGACGCTAACACGAGACACATTGCCAAGCACCGATTGCAACCAAGCAGCCACAGTCTTGGAATCGGTGAATAGCGTGAGCTCCTTCACTTGCCACTGCACGGCAAGGTTCAATCCCTTGATCACGGCGTCAAGCTCAGCGATGTTAATGTGTCGCCGGTCGTCCTTCTGCCGCAGCCAGCAGCCATCCTCGACGATCATACCATCGGCCTGAATGACAGCACCATGTGCGATGTCCGAAGCATCACACCACAACGACCACTGTGCGCCTTCAGGAACTGACCACACACCTTGCGCAGGGTCATCGGTCCGCAGACGGTGAATGACTTCCGCACAACAAGCGACGACTTCATGAGACACTGGATCATCCCATCCAGGCTGAAGGCTAGACAGACGCTTCAGATAACTGCACGCTGGGCGCAGCCAGGAGCCGACGGGATAGTGGCTGGTCAGCTTGCCACACCACTTGAAAATCTCGCGTCGTGTGATGGCATCGGGCTGACAGGTCGGCATGACGTCACCACGACGCTTCCACCTCACTTGGCCATCTGCAGACTCTGACAGCTGCAGACCAAGTACCCTAGCAGAGACGACTGGCTCCGCTGGCTTGGTGGGCAACCCGTACTGCGACAACTGAACGGTGACAGCACGCAGACGAGGCTTCGGAACATACAAATCGTCGACATAGTTGTCCACATCAGCATACGCACGGAGGACCCACTTGACGATTATGTCCATGAATTTGGGCGCAATCGATAGACCGAAGCCCATCCTCTCCATTGCGAACAGCTGGCCCTTCCAGACGACCGTTTGGAACTTGGCGAGAGCTGGCGCGATGCGGATGTTGAGGTAAGCCTTGCTGATGTCCAGCAACACGTGGCTGTCGGCGTTGCCAATAGACCTCCACTGACGCAACTTCTCTTGGCAAACAGGCACGTCCAAACCTGGATGCGACACAATCAACTTGTTGAGTTGCCGGTAGTCCAAACACGGGCGGACAGGGGTGGACTCCTTGTGCGTCTGGGCCACCGCCAACAAGGGCAACACAGCACCAGGCTCACCATGGACTGCTTGGTCATGGGGTACCAACCATCCATTGCGGATCCACATGTCCACTTCCTCGCAGAATTGTGACTCCTGGTCTGTTGACAGGCTATGCCGGGGATATTCACCAATGCCTGACCCGACTGGACGCGTGGGGGGTTCGTCTTTCCATGCCCACGTAAGCTCCCAGTAGCCAACATCAGCGCGCCAACGAACTGACCCATCCGCAGTGGTCAGAATGACATCTTCCCCGTCATGCTCCACGGTAACATGGCGTAGCAGCTGAGGCGAATCACCATCATCACTGCGCACGTCCGAACTGGGCACATCTGCGGAAGCTGAAGCTGCTTGACCGAAAGATGCTCCGACGAGCTTGGAGTCCGCGTACTTGAGGTCAACTCCGCCATGCTGCGATATCAGGTTGAGGCCCAGAAGCACATCCGCATTCACAACACTCAACTCCGGAACAATTGATACAGACACAGACGAGAAAGGCAGAAATACCGTCTCGTCCACCCGCTCGACATCCAGAACAGCCGAGCCCAATACCTTGAGTGTATTGCCGTCAACGGTGATGATATCAGGCGTTGACGTCGTCACCTCCAGTGCCAAGTCCTCTGCCAACTGACGAGACACCAACGTGTGTGTTGAGCACGAGTCGATGGCAGCAACACAACGCCGAAACGCCACCGCATCACAACGCTTCACAGGCAAGAAGATCCGTGGCAACGCTACTGCGGGCCCATCAATCTCCGACGCGACGCAGACATGGCCGACATCCTCACTCGCAGCTGCTCCAGCACACCCCTTCCGCTGGGGGCACGCACTGCGGACGTGGCCTCGCTCCTTGCAACCATAGCAAACAGGTTCGCCGGATGCTGGTGACTTAGGTAGCTGCGGGCAATTCCGCTGAATATGGCCGACCTTATTACACCGGTAACACAACACAGACCGCTTGCTAGGTCCGCTGCTACTAGACGACGTCGCTGCAAATGCCGCAGAACGTGCACCCTGTACTGGTGCAGCCGACACCTGGGTTGCAGAAACCAACACGCGAACTTGATCCGCACACTGATCCACAGTCATACAGTGCAAGGCATGCTGGAGGCGCACCTGACATGCCAGCACCTGCGGAATGCCGAGCAGAAACTGCTCCAGGAGCACTGGGTCACACGACTTCCCTGACGAAGTGTCATGCGCTTCAATATGACCACTCTGGCGGAGAAATCTCCTCAAGTCGGCCAAGTAGACGTCAACGCTCTCTCCCCGACGAAGAGTTCTGGCCACAAACTTCTTATACGCCTCTGCTGGCGTGATGCAGAAAGCGGCTCGGAGCGCACCATGGACAACCTCCTCACTGGTCTGCTCGACGTCCGGCAGCGCACTCCAAACAGTGAACGCGTCCTTGTCTAGGAATAAAGGAAAGTGGTCCATTCTTTTAGCTTCCGACGTCCATTTCTGTATCCGTGACACCACGCGGAATTTCAGCAAGAACGCTTCCAGGTCGTCATCTCCTCCACGATACGGCCGCAACAAGGAATGTCCAGCAGACGACGCCATTACTACTGAAACAGGCAGTGAAATAACAAAATTAATACTCTCCGAGAACCTAACCACAAAGCGCCAACGGTCCACTCAAAACCGGGTTTCGGTACCACGTTGTTGTGGAATTATCCACCACCAGACCAGCGCAAGGATATAAGTTGGACTATAATTATTAATTTCAATTCCAAAATGCACAAGAAGTTTACAGAAGAAAAAAGCACGACCTCGACCAGGCCAGAAGCAAGAAGAACTAAACACAAGATATTGAAAACCCTTCTCCTCAACAAGCTGCATCACGTACAACGGAAAACAACTGGCTGCACCAGCGCGTGCATCAGCGTGTGCACCAGCGCGTGTACCAGCACTGCACCAACGTGTGCACCAGCGAAATCAATATCGAAAGTACGTATCAATCATTACATTACGTACAACATGCGCAAGAGGGTTACTCTACTTCAACCACATGTGTCACATGACCACATCTGTCACATGACATCTGTCGCATGACCACATCTGTCACATGACCACATCTGTCAAATGCCCACATCTGTCACATGACCACAACTGTCGCATGACCACATCCGTCACGTCACATGACCCACATCTGTCACATGACCACAACTGTCGCATGACCACATCCGTCACGTCACATGACCACATCTGTCACAGGACCGCATCTGTAACATGACCACATCTGGCACATGAGCACATAATTTGTTCCCATGCCGTGACCTTTGAGGTCAGCAGAGCAGCCTGGCCCCGCCGCCACTTCTCCCACATGTTCGGGAGTATAGTGGACTTTTGTATACCGTAAAGTCCGCTGCAAACGCCCGCTTTGCAGCAAGCGCCCACCCCAGCGGGTCCATACTATTTTCGTGTTTATCAGGTCAATATAGTTGTAGAAATCTGGCATGAAGGTCGAATGCGTACGAAAACGGCTGTAATGCCTACAAACTGCATATGTCTTACCAGGAGGCTCTGCAAAAGCGATTGTCATTATCTTGCTGCAAAAAAAAACTTCTGTCGCGATTTCCTTTCATTCGATAAATGAGTCGTCTTTGTGGCAGTTTGCTCTCCATGTGGTAATGCCGTAGAATCCATCTGGTTTTCATGAAATTTCTGCAGTGCCACGGTGTCGCGCTTTCAGAACGGAACAGTGATTGTTCTGACGAAGCGTCATTCAACGACTTGACTCGCCGCAGTATTGCAGTTGCAAGTCGAACAGGGTATGTCACGAAGCTACAACTACAAAGTCGCTGCTAATTTGTTGAAAACTCTGCAGTGCTCGAGAAAAACACTTGCCTTTGGGCGTTGTGTGATTTGGAAACGATGGCTTGAAACACCGTCAGAAGTGTATTTGGTCCCTGCAATACTCTGTTCTTCGCTACCTTGTTACTCGGAAGAAACTCCCGTTTGGTTTTGCGAAATAAAACAACCATCATCATAAAATCACTACGAGCTAGCTTGTGGCTAGTGCCCAAATGATTTTGAAACCAGGAAAGTGGACATAGTTTACCGTAGCAAAGCGCTCTTCGCGCTACGGTGTGAGATGCACTTTCGTACCGTAGGGGTGACAGTACATGGGGTCAGTGTGTACAGGCCAGCAGATCTTGCAAAAATGGGGTGGTGGGCGTTTGCAGCGGACTTTACAGTACTAGTAAAAATTGAAAAAAATGACCACGTCTGTCACAAGACCTCGTCTGTCACAAGACCTCGTCTGTGACAAGACCACGTCTGTCACATGACCACCTCTGTCACATGACCACATCTGTCGCATGACCACATCCGTCACATGACCACATCTGTCGCATGACCACATCCGTCACATGACCACATATGTCGCATGACCACATCTGTAGAATGACCACATCTGTCGCATGACCACATCTGTCGCATGACCACATCTGTCGCATGACCACATCAGCCGCATGACCACATCTGTCACATGACCTTGTATGTCACATGACCACATCTGTCACATGACCACATTTATCGCATGACCGTTCAGGGCAGCCATGTTGGCTCCAACTCCGATCAATCCCCCCCCCCCCCCCGGCCCGGGCAGTGGGCACCTGCATTTACGGATCACATGATGTCGGCGGCCATGTTGGCTCCACTGTTCACTCAATAGACATAGCTTGATTTTGCTAGCAATTCAGCTAGCAAAAATATCGAAGAATTTTGGAAGAGAATTTGCTGGCAAAACGGAGCAAAATATCAGTATGTTTGCCGGAAAATTAGGAGATTGTACACTTGTACGGTGCACGCGACTCATATTCGCACAGTTTTGCTGACACGTGGCTCACTTTTTCTCATTTTCGCCAACCCGTGACCCACTTTTGGTCAGTTTTCCAACACGTGACACAATGTTGGCCTCGCATTGGAGCAAAAAGGGAGCACAATATCGAGTGGCCAGGCAAAATGAAAGCGAAATATCGACGATGAACCAGTAAAAATTTGCGGCTAAAATATTGCTTCACTGGAAAAATCGGCCTTTGCCTACCACTCAACCCCCCATGCATTTGTGGGTCACGTGATATCGGCCATGTTGGCTCCAAACTCCACTCAACCCCCGTGCATCTGTGGGTCACGTGATATCAGCCATGTTGGCTCCAAACTCCACTCAGCCCCGTGCATCTGTGGGTCACGTGATATCGGCCATGTTGGCTCCAAACTCAACTCAACCCCCGTGCATCTGTGGGTCACGTTTTATCGGCCATGTTGGCTCCAAACTCCACTCAACGCCCGTGCATCTGTGGGTCACGTTTTATCGGCCATGTTGGCTCCAAACTCCACTCAACGCCCGTGCATCTGTGGGTGTCGTGATATCGGTCATATTGGCTCCAAACAGTGGACCAAACTCCCCTCAACCCCCATGCATCTGTGGGTCACGTGATGTCGGCGGCCATGTTGGCTCCAAACTCCACTCAACCCCCGTGCATCTGTGGGTCACGTGATATCGGCCATGTTGACTCCAAAACTCCACTCAACCCCATGCATCTGTGGGTCACGTGATATCGGCCATGTTGACTCCAAAACTCCACTCAACCCCATGCATCTGTGGGTCACGTGATGTCTGCCATATTGGCTCCAACTACACTGATTAGTACTCAACATCTGCATCTGTGGGCCACGTGATGTCGGCGGCCATGTTTGCTCCAACTACATTCCACCCATGCATTCATGGGTCACACTTCCATGCGATATGCCATCCCCCCCCCCCCCCCCCCCACGCATCTGAACAGCATCTGAGGCAGGGATGAATTTACTGTCATATTTTGCATAGCAGTTTTTGCTATGCAAAACCTCAATTGTGGCGTAAGCTACAAAAAGCATGGATAACGCGTGTACATGTTTGTGTCGCAGTTTTCCGCGTGTCGCTGTGATTTTTGAGTAGCAGTAGATCGATTTTGCGTAGCAAACTGCGATGCGATACCGGATAAATTCATCCCTGTGATGGTTCTGCTTCTGCAGTATTCAGAAGAAAAAAAAGAAGAAAAAAACATGATGTTGCCATGTTGGTTCCAACTCCCCTCAACCCACGCATCTACAGGCCACATGATTTTTTATTTATTTATTTATTTATTTCTGCACGTCGTGGCATGTCAAGACAGCCAATTGAATTGAGGAGAGGGTGAGACCAACCACGGAAGAAGAGAAAAAAGAAAATGAAGAGCACGTACACAAAGTGGGAAGGGATTAGCAACTTACAAAGCAATGGGATGCTCAGCGAGCTATGCAGCGGAAGTGGTGACTGTGACTTTGTTTACTGATGTCGACCATGTTGGTTCCACTGTCCACATGGCTAGGCGCAGCCCGATTTTGCTAGCAATCTTGCTAGCAAAACATCTAATCGAAGAATTATGAAGAAGAATTTTGAAAAAAATTTGCCGGCAAAACGGAGTAAGATACCGATGTGCGGGCTGGATATCGGGAAAATGGGACCGGTTTAACCCTCTCACTACCAGCCATTCAAATATCGATCCATGTGGATCGATGCAATAGGCGATCACTAAATATTTCGTCACACGCTCAAATATTGTCGGACTATTACAAATGAGGGATGTACGTCTTCAGAAAGACCTTGACTATCGACTGCAACTATCACTTTCACTCCTTGGTGCATAAATAGCGCACGACGAAGTGTTTTTGCAGACTGTGAATTGACTCAATTGCGAAAATAATGGGTAGTGAAAGGGTAAAACTGGCAGTGCAAGTGACTAAATTTCTCGCATTTTCTCGTCACCTGGCTCACCTTTGGTTCATTTGGGCAAAATGGAGCCAAAATGTGGCACACTATTGTCAAGAGTACATAAACCAGAGTGTGCAACTGTGCATATCAGATCTGAAACAGCGCAGTTCGTGCACTACGTCACCCTGATGAGGTCGGCCAAGCCGCGACTTGCGTACAGCTCAAATTTTCTTCACAGCCCGGAAATCAGCCAAGTTTGCATGATTTAGACGTCCTGTTTTAGGATTCCGGCGTTTTGTGTGATTGTATCCGCTGGCCAATAATTTCACCAGGCTCCCCGAATCAAAACCCCGAAATCAGGACAAACTCCATGACCTGCACGACCGTGACTGGTTACGAAACTTTTCACCGTACCTGTTGCTTACCATGCAGTCAGAAATGACGTACTGCACGGATTACGCTCCCACAGGAGCCATCCCGAGTTGCACACTAGAGTGTGCGTCTTGATACTGGACATTGCCGAACACGTGACTCAAATTTTGAGGCACACACTGGAGCAAACAGGTAACACGGTATCGAGTGGCCTGGCGAAATGAATGCAACATATCGCCGATGAGCCGGTAACATTTCGCGGCAGAATATCTAGAAGCGCCACTGGCCAGTTTGTGTTGGCATTCCTACGCATGAAGAACACTTCGTCCGCCTGGTTTTCAAATAGCATCTCGAGCGTATGGTTCCCTTCTTTTAGCGGGCCTGCTTAGCCCAAAAATCCGAGAATAAAATTGCGTTCAGGGCGGGACATGGACCACCGTTCCGTGGGACGCCATCCCCCAGATCAAGTGTCATCTGTGGCTCTGTAACTGTGCGAAATGATAGAGATGTATTTGACCAAAAATCGCATTTTCTGTCTCCATGTTGCGCTAGCGCCAAGCCACACGCTTATGTGTATGTGTGCATACGTGTACGTGTGTGCATGTGTGAGTGTGAGGCTGCGTTTAAACGACAACGCTGCGGTGAAAACGCAGCAAAATTCTTTCGGATGCATGGTTCATTTACACGGTACGCTGAGCAAAACGTAAAAGTTGTACACCAAAACGGAAGAAAGCCAAAACGCTGGCCAAGGTGGAAGAATTTGAAAACGGAAATGTTCTGCCGGCCAAATTTGGGTGTGTAAACAGTCGAAACGGTGTGCTGGCCTCGTTTTCCGTCACGTTTGTTCCGTTTTCGGCCGTTCACACGGATCCGACAATCAAAAAATTGCTTTTACAGTTTTCGTCATGTGACGAGTGTTGTCGTGTGGCCTGTTTTCAACTATTCCTTGAGTGTGATTGGTGCTTCCACGACAACACATTGGCACATGACGAACTTTGGCGGATCCTTTGCTCCCATGTAGACGCGCGAAAACGATACAAACGGAGACCACCTCGGATCAGCTTTGATCTTGTAAACGCACGAAAATGAAAAAAGGAAATGTGGGACTGAAAAACGGAAATCTGGCCGTGCGTTGTAGTGTAAACACAGCCTGAGCGTGTGTGTGTGTGTGTGTGTGTGTGTGTGTGTGTGTGTGTGCATGTGTGTGTGTGTGCATGTGTGTGTGTGTGTGTGTGTGTGTGTGTGTGTGTGTGTGTGCGTGCGTGTGTGTGTGTGCATGTGTGTGTATGTGCGTCGGTATGTGCGTCGGTTCCTGCCGATGTCGGTTTGTTTACCTTCTTGCAGAAAAGAACGAGTGTTTTACACACACATGCACTGAGCCTAATACAAAGTGTGTGGACGTATATGGAAGTTTTGCCTGCGTATGTAAAACGGGTTTCGGCGGTCCCTTTTGCGAAGGTATGTGATATTTTTGTGGTGAGATTTCTTCAAAAGGAATATTGCGACCGTAAAGTACGAGGTGATTCTTCATTACTTAACGCGATAGTCAAAAAGCCTTCTGTAGGGTTCAAGGTGAGAATCTTTCCATTTCTTCCTCGGAAAATGCAATACTGATGTCCCTAGATTGCAATGGTGGGTTGTTCATTCACATTCTCGTTGGTGTTGGGAGGCAGGCAGTTGAAAAAGGCAATTTTTCCACATTATATTTTGTGTGGTCATTTCTTAACGCCATAGTGAAATGGGCTGGAGCAGCACGATTTCAAGTCAGTCTCCAATAGAAAGAGACTCTACATATTCACGGTGGTCCAGCAAGACTGGATCAAGATCATGTTTTTTTGTTTTTTTTATTTTTTATATCATTATCTCATGGCACATCATGATGACGGCCAGTAAAACTGAGACAAGGGTGAAAGCCAACCACACCAGTAAAACAGAAAAAAGAATACAAATAAAAGGCAAAGAAGGCAAATGTTGATCTAAATACAAGCCATTCAAGCTTGCATAGCAACAGGTGTGTCACCATGGTTGCATTATGCAATTGTGCTCAACAGTCGGTTAGCGAATTCAGCAATTGCCAATGTTTGGCCATTGCCAGGGTCAAAACACTGACATTCCTCCTTCCCAGGCGTCCCATCTAGTGTGTAGCTATCATATGCTTCCTCCTCAGCTAAATGTGCTGTCACTGGAGGTTGAAACCGGCGGCTATGGATCCTTTACACTCTATTTTGCCGTAAACATCGCGCACATGCAGACTGAAAGCTCTTGCAATGTCACTCCCTGAAGGAATATCAATGTCAATTTTGGAGGCGAACTGGACAGCACATTGATAATGACAATGGCGAAAAGAAATTTCACGTGACTTTTTGCGGGCGCTGGCAATGAGATATTTTACCGATTTGTTAAGAAATGACCCAATGTTTTTTTTTTAAAGACGAATCACCTCGTACCGCGGGAGCGTTCCGTCTCGCAAGAGCGTCCCGCCTTGGTTTTGCAGCCAGGGAATTGAAAACCGTATGGCAGAGCGTGACGAAGTGTGTACGGTGTGAGAACCTCCGTGTACTCTTAGCAGGTGTTTGTGCGGAGCTCGTGTCCGCTCGAAGATAAGCGGAGTACGGATTGACTGTACAGCGTGCAATATGTGTACAAGGTTTGTGTCGTATAACCTACGGACAGGAGACCACCGCCACAATCCGACGGCGAAAGGACGAGACGGTGGGGCGTCTTGGCGGTACTTTACGGTGGTAACAAGACTTGATTTTTTGTTTTTTTAATACTTTTTTTGTTTGTTTTTTTTTACTTTTTTTTGTTTTCCTCTCTGGCCACTCTGCCCGTCTTCTGGCACATGTGAATACGTGGACTTACTGTCGACGTAAACGCGGACGTGCGTATAATAATAATAATAACAAACTTGAAGTACACGTACCCATAACCCCTTTGTTGTTTGGATTTTTTGGTTTGTGTAATGGCTACCAAGGGCGGCAATGTGTGGGCTGAGAGCACATCGAGGAGAAGAGAAGGAGTAGAGATTGGTGCAGGAGATTTCTGCTTGTACAGAGAGATATACTTGTACAGTACGGCGAGAGCGCCCCACCAACTCGTCCTTTCGTGGGCCGTGCTGTGGAGGCGGTGTCCTGTCTGAAGGTCATACGATACGTACTTTGTGCACACATCGCACACTGAGCAGTCAATAGAGAGGTTCCGCATAACGCAATTACGTTAGTAAAAAACGTAGTCGATCTACGGAAAGTCTTTACGTAAACTGCATGCGCATCTGTGTTCCGCCATGCGGAGTTTTCGAATCACGTAGCCGCCCTTGACCACTCCGAACGCGGCAGTGTACGACCAGATCGACCTGGGGAGAGAGTCATAATTGTGTACCCCAATCCACTTACGGACCAGCTACGTTATCAGAGCCCTATCTACGTACTCTCCGTAGACAACTTTCCGTAAGTGGAGTGCAAACTCGCGAATTCACGGGTTTTTCCCGCCCATTAACGTAAAGTTGCTCAACTTTACGTAATAGTGCGGAACCTCTCTGTTCTAAACTGTACAGTGAGAAATTTTCTCTAGAGATTAAATTTCCCTATTTTCGCAACCATCATACATTCCCGAATATAAATCGCCGCAAGCTGCTCTGCGCATGGGTGGACAACTGTACAAGATCCATTTGAAGAGAGTTAAAATCGCACACATTTCTCATTGTGAACGAATGCGATTCTTGAAAACGCAAATTTGCGTGCCACGCGAGTTTATCGCTTTACAGCGCTCAGTTTGCCTTTGAGCTCCTCGCAACAAACATGCAACGGGGGCCTTAGCACACGGAGGCGTTCACGCCGCACAAGCTTGATTGCACTCGGCCACACCATGTTCCTTTCCCGGCTGGCTGTAAAACTACGGTTGGGTGCCCCCGCGGCACGGTATAACCGGAACATTTCGGTGGAGATTTATTTTCGGAAACTCCGGTAGAAATTATTTTTTTACCGGAAACAAAACACGACCTATTAAGTTAACCTATGCCCTGCTACACAGTGTGCAGAATGCATTTTGTTTTGATCGGGAAAACTGGCTTACCGAAATTTTGCGCCACGGAACCGTTGATTTTGGGAAATACCGAATTTTTACCGAAAATTCGTAGTTTTACAGTATTTTACGGTACTAAAACAAAATTCGACGGGGTTCGAGTACCGGGCAGGTCAAGAACAAGGAGTCATACAACTCCCTGGTCAAGAACCGCCTTTCCGCTTCCGTGGGACGCCACCACCCCATGATCAGGCGTCAGATGCGGCTCCTAAACGGTGTGGATTTTACGGCACTAACTACTTTCCAATTGCTAGCCTGGCGTTGCGTAATATTTGGACTGCAGGAGAGATCTGGATTAGCAAGACTTCCTTTCTACCTAACACAAGTAGGACTAGACCTGAACATGTGCTCTTTCTTACTGCCCATCAATATCTCTCTGTCTGTCTGTCTGTCTGTCTGTCTGTCTGTCTGTCTCGCACTCTCTTTCTCTCTGTCTCTCTCTCTCTCTTTCTTTCTCTCTCTCTCTCTCTCTCTCTCTCTCTCTCTCTCTCTCTCTCTCTCTCTCTCTCTCTCTCTCTCCCCTCTTCCGCTCCCCATTGTTGCATTGCAGATGTAGATGAATGTCTTCAGCCCGGCCGCTGTTTGTCGCCTAACACACAGTGCCGAAACCAAGCGCATGGCTTCTCTTGCGGTTGCAAACCTGGCTACCGTGGAAGCGACTGCACCAGGAAGGTCTAGCAAGCAACAGCTCACACTGTCCCACCCTTCTGGCCTCAACACAGCTACAGGTATCCTGCAACATCAGCAGCAGCACCACCACCAACAACAACAACAGCACCACCAACAACAACAACAGCACCACCAACAACAACACCACCACCAACAACAACAACAACAACAACAACAACAACAACAACAACAACAACAACAACAACAACAACAACAACAACAACAACAACAACAACAACAACAACAACAACAACAACAACAACAACAACAACAACAACAGCAACAACAACAACAACAACAACACTACCACCACCAACAACAACAACACCACCAACAACAACAATAACACCACCACCATCACCAACAACAACAACAACAACAACAACAACAACAACAACAACAACAACAACAACCGTGAGAATAAAGAATTCAAATTCAACCAAACAACAACAACACCAACAACAACAACAACTACTACTACTACTACCCCTACACCAACACCAACACCACCAACAACAACAACGATCACGACAATAATACCACTACCACCAACACCAACTACCACAACAAAGGCACCAGCAGCAGCATCTCTTACTGCCTGCTGTCCATGTCGGGAGTGGCGATTCGAAATCGTGACAGCACCAAGATATTGAGAAGTGATTCAGAAATTAGTGAGATGACAAGCAGCACCCCTGTATGTAAGCCAGCATGGGATTCACTGCTTTTATTATTATTTATATTGTGTTGATTGGCAGCGTTGTCGCCTATTGCTTATTTAAAGTTTAGAATGCTTTCATAACAGCCCTTCGAGAACGTTTAACTCGACTTTCTCGCTTTGCTTGTTACGCAGTTTTCGTTTTCACGCTGCCTCTATTGGTGCTTAAGTTCGTATCTATGCCATGCATCCATGTCGTTTACTTTTTCCACTTACCCATTGGCGACCCGGGTGCCCGCTGAAATCCCCCCGTGAAGAGAGCAGCCCCGAGAATGTGCCGCTCTAGCTCAGCACACTGTCCTGGCCCTGTGCCAGTCCAATGATCACTACAAGCACTATCTCCGGCGGTGAACCCAGCTGGATTCCGTTGGCACCGACCTGGATTTCATAATTTCCATTTTTCCCACTTCTGTTCTTTTTATCAATCTAGTCTGTGCCTTTCCATTTCGGGTCTACTAATTACTGTTGCCCCTAACAACCGTTTTGTATAACTTATTTCGTTTGCCGAGATCTCGTTCTAGAGATGTTTTTTTCATGCAAGAATCGTTCCTATCTGTTGATCACCTGTCCACACATCAAGCGGCAACCGTTCCCCGCTATATCCGTTCCGTACACTTGCACGTGCACCGCGAGGTTCCTCGTGCGAGTACGTGTGCTGTGTGCGAGTTCCTCGTGCGAGTGCTGTGTGCGAGCTTACCTGGTGGTGCTGTGAATGTTCACAGAAAGAAAGTGATTAAATTTGGAAAGAATTGGTTCACTTCCCCGACTGATCATTTGAATTTGAAGTTCTCCCAATCCTTTCCAAATTTAATCACTTTCTTTCACCTCTGGTAGTTTCCAGAAACTGCCCGTGGTTGGTCCCCTGGGGGAGGGAAAAAGACCCAAGTGCCATCAGTATGTGTGGCACGTGTTGTGAGCTGCCTTTGGGGTGAAGGACTTGTCAGCGCCTTCTGGGTTCAGCCTGGTCCCATAGCTCAGTGGTTAGAGCATTGCTCATGACAAGCAGGGTCCCAGGTTCGAGTCCTGGTGGGTCTGGCGGTTTTTTCTCTTTTCAGGCAGTTCACTTCCCCGACTGATCATTTGAATTTGAAGTTCTCCCAATCCTTTCCAAATTTAATCACTTTCTTTCACCTCTGGTAGTTTCCAGAAACTGACCGTGGTTGGTCCCCTGGGGGAGGGAAAAAGACCCAAGTGCCATCAGTATGTGTGGCACGTGTTGTGAGCTAGCTGCCTTTGGGGTGAAGGACTTGTCAGCGCCTTCTGGGTTCAGCCTGGTCCCATAGCTCAGTGGTTAGATAGAGCATTGCTCATGACAAGCAGGGTCCCAGGTTCGAGTCCTGGTGGGTCTGGCGGTTTTTTCTCTTTTCAGGCAGTTCACTTCCCCGACTGATCATTTGAATTTGAAGTTCTCCCAATCCTTTCCAAATTTAATCACTTTCTTTCACCTCTGGTAGTTTCCAGAAACTGACCGTGGTTGGTCCCCTGGGGGAGGGAAAAAGACCCAAGTGCCATCAGTATGTGTGGCACGTGTTGTGAGCTAGCTGCCTTTGGGGTGAAGGACTTGTCAGCGCCTTCTGGGTTCAGCCTGGTCCCATAGCTCAGTGGTTAGAGCATTGCTCATGACAAGCAGGGTCCCAGGTTCGAGTCCTGGTGGGTCTGGCGGTTTTTTCTCTTTTCAGGCAGTTCACTTCCCCGGCTGATCATTATTATTATTATTATTATTATTAATATTAATTCAACATCTCCTGGCTCGTCAGAAGACTGCCAATATATATGAGAAGTCGGGTGGTAGCCAACCACGGCGAACTGAATAATAAGGAGAGAAACAAAGAGAGTACTGCAAGGGGAGGCATGACGAAAATGGTGAGATTATTTAGGACGAAGAAGCTGAAGCTTGAACTCCTTAATGTCTGTGCATGCTTTAAGGCTAGTTGGCAGGGAAGACCAGAGAGTGTACGCAGAGAAGATAGGAGATTTCAGAAACAGGGAGGTATTGGCACGGGGTAATGAGAAGGAATGACGTGTTGATCTGGTCGACACAAACCAGTTATACTTAGCAAAGTGTTTTGGAGCCAGGTCTAACAAGATCATGTGTACAAGGATGCAAAGATGTTGCTGGTGTCGCTCTAAGAGGGGAGATACTGAAGCTAAACTGTAGAGACGTTGGGAGGAGAATGTTTGATTTTTGCGAAACAGGATTTTTAGAAGCAGACGCTGGTGTATTTCCAGAGTTTGAACAAGGGCCTGAGACAGACCGCACCACGCTGTGTCACAGTAATCAAATATAGGTAGAATATACGACGTAAAGAACAATTTTCGGCAATGAGGTTGCAACATGCCAAGGGAGGAGCTAGCTCGCTTGCATACTGACTGAACCTGTGGGGACCAGGACATATGGCTGTCGAATATAACACCAAGGTGTTTGTGTTCATGAACAATTTTAACGTTAGCATTGGCTCCTGGAAAGTGCAACGGCTGAGTAGGCGGCGATGGGCTGATTTACTTAGAGGGGATGACCAGGCGGTTGAGCAATAGAGAAAAATGGGGAGAATATAGCAATGATAAAAATGGCGAATGTATTCAAGCGGTAGGTGGGAGCAGTGAGACACGAGGTAGCCAACAGCTTTACTGACTTTGCTACAGATGTAGTCGACATGTCTACTAGACGATAAGTCTGCGTCAATGACCAAACCAAGATGCTTGTGTTGCTTTCCCACCGTGAGGTCTGTGAGGGATCCGGGAAGAGTGAATGCAGGGGTTGGCTCTGAGTTCGGCAGGAATAATGATATCTCAGTCTTGGCGATATTAGGTCTTAGTCTCCAGGTAGTCACCCACTGATGGACTTCGTTGATACCGCGCTGGAGACTGTCTCGCAGCCTGTCTAGACTCTCATTGAACCGGAGCAGTGCAGTATCGTCAGCAAATAAGGACACATGACTGGGAAGATCATTAGTATACACTAGGAAAGGGAGAGGCTCTAGGATGGACCCTGGGGCCCTCCAGACAGAACAGGTGAAGCATCTGAGAGAAGTCCACCTACTCAGACAACTTGTGTTCTGCCGGATAGGTATAGCCTGTAATCCAGCGCTGCGCCACACACACCGAAAACTTTGGAAAGTTTAGCAAGCAATGCACGGTGCCACACGGTGTCGAAAGCTTTCTCGAGGTCGAACAAGGACATGGCAACTTTCCGCCCCACATGACGATGGTCGGCAATGTCTTGGATCAGCTTGGTAAGCTGTAGAGCGGTCGAGTCGCCACGACGAAACCCAGATTGCGCGGGATCCAGAGCAGGAGAAATAATTATGATTACATGTATATAAATGATTGAAGAAGAGCCGTTCGCAAAGTTTGGAAATACAGATTTCGCCGTGCAGATCAGTAGAAGACTTTGGAAATCTCGTTCTTATGAGCAATATCAAGAAAAAGAAAAAAACAACAACTCTCCCACCCCAATGATCAGGCGTCAGATATCGCCAAAAGCGGAGTTGATTAGCGCTCTGGACAAGACCAGGGCTGGAAACGGCCAGGCTTCTCACACATAGATTATACCAAGACTACATAACCAGGTTCTGTACTCTTGACAATACGTACCTGGGTGTCTTGGTGGACAGCGCTCAGTCAGTGTTCACCAGTGTTCACCGTCGAACAAGTGCACCGGCTGTAAAGCTGGCGATGAAAAAGTGTCCGGTTCAATGCTTGGCAACGGTTGGCATGGAGACGCTTGACTGGATGAAGGCGTTCCCTCGCAAACACGATCATATTGCGAGAATCCCTTGTGAGCCTTGTATTTATTGGCCCTGTCGTCTAAACGCTCCCAGGAGGTCGATGGCGAACCTCACACCCAGTCAGCTGTACCAAACACCCATACTGAATTGCGTGAGACGTGAGAATTCAGCAATTGATCTTCTAAACACACGCATGATCTACTGGCTAGAAGGTTCTCAGATAATGACTGAGGACCTTTTTTATTATTTTTTTTACCTGACTTATGCTTGTCATATTACTACTTGCAATGTTGAAAATGTGAAATTAGGTTGTCGTTTTCAACACAAGACAAGTTCTCTGGATTTGAGTGTACTGCAGCGGAACCTATGCCTCCTTTCCCTTCTAGGAAGAGCGAGTTTGGTCGGCGCCGCACAACCAGTACCAAAGTTAAACAGTCGGGACAAGTTTGAAATCGCAATCCCCTCCTGTCAAATCTGCTCAGCAGTGGTGGTGGCACCGACTGTCAAATACCTTCTGAACACTTTGTCCTATTTTCACGTATTCTTGCGCATTGACAGTTCATTGAGGTTGGGTTCTGCGTCGGGACGCGATATGTGTCATTTCATGCGTAATTATGGATCAACTTGGTATTCGCAAGGTTGTGATTGTCAAAACCACCTTCTAACCAAGCTCAAATTCCCGTTTCGCGGCGAGCGGCACGCACAACCTGAATCGTGGCAGTGGTGGTGAGGTTTTGGGAGCTCCGCCGACCTAGGGTCTCGACTTCATAGTGTACGGGATACCAGTTCTGCCTTGGTGTTGGTGCCAAGTCTGCATCTCTCCAGGTTAGACCACCCTACCCGATGCTGTCTGGTAGAGAAACCAATCCAACAGCTGGCTGGCATACAATGTCCGAGTGTCACTCACCGCTACTGCCCAAGTCATGATCATGACACAC